TTTATATTTTTGATACCCAAACATCAAGGGCTTTCATATGCACCCAGCCCTTTCTCTGGGTCAACTATATACAGTTATCATGAATTCTAACTGGGGGTGAATTGTTGATGACTTGCATTCTTCGTCATTGATACTGAGATTTTTTGATTGTTTAAAAGTAAAAGAATTAAGAATAACAATACATACGCCTCCACTGAAGTCATTTTTCATAGATTGTTGTACTGAAATATAGACAGATAGAAAAAAAATTTACATTTATTTCCATTTTGACACAATGTTTTTGTTAAACAGATTACAATAAATTTATAGCTTGTAAGTTGTTTAAGATTAGCTTTAGGTTTTCAACGTTTTTACTCATGTTTCTTATGTTCAAATTTAATAATGAAAAACAAGAAAAATGATTTTAAATAATTAGATGATTCACTTACATTAAAATAATTAATTACTTTTGAAAAATTGTTAAAGTAATTTACATCAGGGTCGTTGTAATTTGTTACCGTATTTTTTCTTGTAGATATATCAAAAACATTAAAAAAATTATTTTCAGCCCTTTTTAAAAGTATATATATACTACAAAAATTAATTATTTATTTAAATATGTTTATTTTTGTTTGATTTGCCTAAGTTTAGAAAAAGATTTTTTTGAATTAGTGAATTTGGCATACCTGACATAAACATTTTTACCATTTAGTTGTCTTTCTTTAAATCAGCCAAAAATCTTTTTCTTATATCCACAGTTTTATGGGAGAAGTCTTGATTCACGTATGTGTTAGTTCAATTGAGTCTGTAGGATTCTTGGAGAATCTTTATTTTGTCCTTATACCTTAACAAACTTAATACAATTGTTCTGGGGCGTCCATCTTTTTTTTATCCAGTTTGATGAGCACGCGCAATATCAACTCAATTTAATCCTAACTTCTTTCTGAAAAGTAATTAAACTTTATCCTCCATTTCATTCCAGGTTTCTACATTGTTTTCTGGCAATCCATTGAACCGTAGATTCTTTCTTCTGGATCTATCTTCTAATTTTCGTATTTTTTTTTTATTTGTTATTTTGATTATATGATAAAAAAAAAAAATTAAATTTCTCTTATCATTTTAAAATATTCTTAGCAACAACTACTAGACATTGTTAAACATTTCAAACTTGCCCGAACCAAAAATGTCATCAATTTAACACTAACAAAATCATTAAACTTCATTGTGTTCCTTATTTAAGTCTTATTCTTATACGCAAGTTTCGTATAAAGGCAAATTTTTGTTTTAAAGAACTTTACCTTACCTAATATCCTAAAATACGCCAAAGAATTACCTATAAGTTACCTAGGTGTTTTTCAACTTGACATGTACATGTGTTGATTTTTAAATATGAGAGGCTAGAATAATATAAAAAAAGCAATAACTGTATATATAAGAAAAATAAATAATGAACCACTCACCAAGTATTACGATCTCTCACAAGAAGTAAACTGTAAACTATTGAATAATCATTCAATTGCATTGACGCAAATAACGAAAAGGCCTTTCCAAAATTTAAAATTTACTAGTTATAAAAATTTGCTAAGTCCGTGGATGACGAAAGAAACTGTACCAAAATTTGTAAAAAACAAAGAAAACTACAAAAATGAAACAAAATACAAAAAATATAAAAATTCTATTTATAAGTTAATAAAGCAAAAAATAAAAAAAAGTACCACTCTTCATTACTTAATAATGCGTTTAAAAACATAAAAAAAAACATGGAATGTAATTAAAGCGGTGGAGTGTGTAAAAATTTAAAATAATGAAATTGCTAAAATATTTAAAAACTTTTTCATAAATAAAAGAAAAAATCATTTAAGTTTTTTTGACAAAATCAGGTTCCTTCATGGTTTAATTGGAGCTTTTAGTCGATGAACTTCAGCAAGGAATAATAAGGGTGAAACTAATAAGAGTGCAGGACTGAATGAATCTAACTCTGATGTTTTCTAAGCAGTCTTAGATATTATAGAGAAACCTCTTTTTAGAAATTTTAATCTTTTGCAAAATAATGGTATTTATCCAAAGAAATTTAAAATAAGGTATATAATTCCATTATACATTAGCGGCAATGACTCGATAAAATCCATTTATTGAACGATTTCCATGATTACTATTTTCCACAATACTAGAGCTTTTAATCATCATGAAAAAGTAATATTCTTTATAATAAACAATACTTATTCTTTATAATAAACAGTATTTTATTCTTTATAATAAACAATATGTTATTCTTTATAATAAGCAATATTTTATTCTTTATAATAAACAACATTTTTTTCTTTATAATAAACAACACTTTATTTTTTCTAATAAACAATATTTTATTCTTTATAATAAACATTATTTGATTTTTTGTAACAAACAATATTTTATTTATTATAATAAACAATATTTTATTGCCTAAGAGCCCGTGGCCGCCAGAACTACGTTATTTTATAGAAGCTGAAAATTTCTTAGCGCATTCTCCAAACAGGTAGATACGATGTCAACTATGTACTTAAGATAATGGTGGCTTTGACTAGTAACAGGTACTATGGTAAAAAAAAAGTGCTGGTTTATATTAGCATTTAATAACAGTTAGAATCTAAGATAAAAAAATCTAATAAAAATGAAGTTAAAAAATGGTTTCAATAACTATTTTGTTTTTATTTTTATTTTGAACAAAATAGCTATTAAAACTATTTTTTAAATTCAATTTTGTTATAATTTTCACCTTAGATTCTAACTGTTATTTAAAGACTAATAGAAATCAGTACTTTTTTAGACGCAATTAAACTGTAATTATTTTCAGTTCAGCTATATAACTTAAGTTTTCGAAAGTTTTTAGATACAAAACTGAAAATATTTCTATAATTAATTACAATTTTTCGAAGTTTAAGGGTGTCTGGCTAGGTTTTGCCACCATGATAAGTGTCTGGAAATCGATGGTATGATTTCTAATCCTGCTATTAAGAATATGATTAGAAAATTACGCTTTATAATTTGACGTAGTTTAACTTGCGTTTTAAAAACCTTCGGTACCTGTAACCAGCCAAAGTCACCATGATCTAAAGTACATATTTGACCATCGTTCCTACTTTTGTTGAAAACACAAGCTGAGAAGTTTTTAGTTTTTATAAAATAACGTAGGTCTGAGATAGTGAGTTTATTATAAAGAATATCAGAAGCTTTTGCTCTATTATTCTTTATAATAAAACAACATTTTATTCTTTATTAAAACCATATTTTACTCTTTATAATAGACATTATTTTATTCTTTATAATAAACAATAATGTTTTTGCCAAAACAATTCGACAGAGAATGCAATAATTGATCTTGCGAATCAAATTATTATTGATTTTGAAAACAATAGTTACATACTTGGAACTTTTCTTGATCTCTCTAAATCTCTCTAAAAAGCATTTAATGTTGTCAACCACAAAATTTTTATCTGAAAATTGCGCAATTATGGAGCTGTTCACTCAAACTTAAATAGTGGCGACATTATAATTTAGAAAATCGTCAACAAGGAACAATATATGATTTAAAATGCACACAATTTGAATCAATAAGTTTAAATATTCTGTTAGGAGAAATACCTTTGGACCTTTGTTGTCTTTATATATTTTAATAAGTAATTTATAGCAAATAAACTTTCATTAATTACTGAAAAAACTAAATACACTTTGCTTATACTTTATACTATTTATTTATACATATTCATGAATTTAAATTTTCAAAAAGTTTTAAATCTTCTCAAATTCAAAATCTCTTTTAAATATTAAATTATATATCAATATATGCTATGTATTGTAACAAATACGTATATGTAGTAATTTGTAAATATTTTTAATTACTTTAAAAGAAACGTTTTTTTATAATAATGACAAACTAGTACCTATTAAGTACCGGAATATGGGAAACCTAATAATGATTAAGAACCGGAATAATGGCAACCTAGAAATGACAAATTATTGCAAATGCCTTTTTTTTTAATATAAAAAACTTTTGCAATATGCTGCTCAGCAATAGCATCATTATTGCAAAAAGACATTTTTTTGGACCAACTATATGAGCTAAAATATTTTATTTAAAATTTAAAAATATTTTGATAAATTTAATAAACAGCATATTACCGTATATGATGTGTTTTCATTTTCGCTAATATTAAATGTTATAAGCATTGTAAATTTGTAAATTAAGAGACAAACCAAATAAATACTTAAAGCAATTAAACAATCTTTTCCCTGTAATGAATTACATAAGTATCCTATACATATCAAAACATTTTAATAAGTAATATTTATTTATTTATAATAAAAATTTTATTGCCAAAACTATACTCTTATAATTTTAGAGCGGCTTCTTCTCAAAAATCTTCAATCAAATATTATACAAAGTTATCACTTGGGTTGAGTGTAATACTAGGTGTTTAAGTTTTCAATCATGTGCCCATCATTATATAATCAATTTAAAAAAATTTAATACAAAAAGTTTGAAAATCATTTATATCTTTTTTACTAATATCGGAGGCATATACTTTAAAGAATTTTAACGTGGTACATACTTTAAGGAACTTTAACCCTGACAGGCTCAGGATTAACGTTTCTTGACCCTAATCCTTACCGATGGCATGCTATATGCTGTATGGCATAAATATGTTAAGTTTAAAAAATTAAATAGTTTTAATATTTGTATTTTTCTTTATTTTTACTTTCTATTTTGTTTATAATATTTTTCGGAAAATGTAATTTATATTATTTTACACATGACAGGGTTAGGGTTAGGATGAACGCCTTGTGGGCTAAATTGTTATTGTTAAAAGTGATGTTTGAAAGGAAGTTAATGACGCAATCATTTGTATGTTCATTGAGCGCGCGTGTATTTTTGTATACCTTTTTTTGTAAACATTTTCTTGTAAATTGTTTTGTCTTTTAATATAATAGTTTTTATTATATTTTTAATTATTCTAATGTTTGAAACTGAAATATGTACTCACTTGTTTTTTATATTAGAATATAAAGGTATAAAAGGTATCAATACACCAGAAAGAAGTGAAGCTCCAATAAATATCTGTAAATTTAAAAGTTTTAGTAAGAATATTAATAAATTTAATTATTAATACTGCAACAATTATCATACTGGAAAAAACAATTTACCTTTTTTGAACCAAACTTAATAATTACCTAAAATAAAATGATGCACAAATATATATATATATATATTTATATATTTGTGCATCATTTTATATATATATATTTGTAAATATATATATATATATATATATTATATATATATATATATATATATATATATATATATATATATATATATATACAAAATTTACTTTAAAACAAAGTTAGCAGAAAGTTGTTTATTTTTACTATTTAGAGGTCTTAGAAATGTCGTAGAAATGTGACAAATAGCAATTTTACCAACTATCAAATACTAATTATTCAGCTTGGCTCAGTTCAAGCACTAAATACCTGGGTCCAACACGTTTACCTTGAGGATTTTGACATGCTTTATTGAAACATAAATATTAAGTACACTGTGGGTGTTTTATTTCATTTATGACTAGGAAATAACAAAAACCAAACACAAAATGCATTATTTGTTGATAATTATAAGTGTTTAGTTAAACAAAAGAAAATTTTATATGCTCTAATAGAAATTATTTTATTGAAAGGGTTAGGCTTCCTTCTCTTTAAAAAGCTGCTTGACACCGATGAACCGCCACTGGTGTTATCCATAAAACTTCCCATCTTTTAATTTTATATTATGTATCAACAATGAGAATTATTTGGTAAAACAAAAAATAAAAGTTAATAATTAAATGTAATCTGTTTCAAGCGGTTTTTTGATGGCAATTTGGTATTTTGCCGATTTGTTTGCAATTCTCGTCTGTATACGGAATTGTTAACTAAAAAGCGGAATATGGCAAATACTAAATAGTCACCAACAATTGTCACATTTTTAGCAATCTGTCGGTCATTTTTCCTTTTAGTTTTGCAACTTAAACAAAATATGAGAAAACTAACAATAAGTTGTATAATTTAAAAGTTGTTTAAAAGTGTAAATTTTTAAATAAATCTGTATTGACGTGACCTAACAATAAGTCATATTTTTAAAAGTATGTAATTTTTTTTTATTTAATCTTCTTTAAGAACTTTTTAAATGTATCATGGGGACGTTATTCGATTGTTTGTTTTTATTTTTTATTTTTGCATAAAGAAGTTATTTTATCTTATAAAATAACTTCTTTATGCAAAAATATATAAAATTAATCGCTATTCCTCAAAAAACCTCAAAAACAAACAAAAAAATCCATCAAAGTTAGTAAACCTAAAACAAAATTAAAAACAATTGTGTAACTTAATTGCAAGTTAAATAAAATAATGAAGCAAATAATGAACTAATTTAAATAAACCATTAAATTATAATGAACGCCTAAATTATAGGATAAATGTAATTGGTCATTTGTTCCATCTGACAACATTAAGGACCATTTAATTAAAATTGGTCTTGTTTAAATTATTAATGATAAACACCCTAAAGAAAGAAATATAGACAGATATATATATATATATATTATATATATATATATATATATATATATATATATATATATATATATATATATATATATATATATATATATATATATATATATATATATATATATATATATATATATAATATCTTTTCAAAATAATCAAATATTTAAAAAATGCTGACATTTAAAACTTTGGAAAACCATAAAAAATTGTGTCTCCAATATGAATATCACTTAAAAAATATGAAATAAAACTAATCCTTGGGGATTTGTATTGTTTATTGTTGTTTACATTTTGACACAACCTAAGTATGTGCTTTTACTATAACATATTTTTTATTTTTTACATGTTATAAATAGGTTAATAATGTTAATAATTGCATGGTCAATGGATTTAGATAAATTAAATCGAAATTTCTTATACTATTTAAATTTTGTAAAGTATAAAAAAGCATCTTTCTCTAATATTTTAAAGAAAAGTATTGATGTTGATTTATAATTTGCAAGATCAGAATCATCACTTGATTTAAAAACAAGTATAGGCATTGCAACTTCAAATTTCTCAGAATAAAACCCTTGTTTTTAGAAAAGATTTAAAATATTCAAAACAAAGATAGTTTAAAATTTTCTTGATTTTTTAATTACATTTTTACTAATATTATCAAATTCAACACTTTGTGTCTCTACTCACTTAATTTACTATTATGTATGTTTTTGTTCTGTCAAAATGGCTGGCACATAGTTCACTTATCCATAAGTTGCTATTTATACATTTAGATTATGTCTGAACCTCTGGGGCGGTGTTTACTCACTTGTAAGTTACTTAGGGTATGTTTGTGTTCTGATTAAATCTCTGATGTATTGCAAGTTTAATAAACAAAAAAACTTAAACTATAAAATCTGTGGTATTTTTTTCATGCACTCCTAATACATTTTAAAGTAGAGCTTACATTGAATAACTTCTTTTAAGTACTCTATGTCAAGTAATGTTCATAATCATCAGGTTCACACCGCTCGGATTTCATTTTTTTAGACAAAAGCTTGGAGAAACAAACTTTCATTTAAAAATCCTCTACCTAGGAGCTCTTGGTTAAGACAAAGCTGGAGATGGTGTCTCGATACAAATGCGCATCTTGGTCAGATGTTAAATATATTCAGATAAAATTCCAATGACGTGGGGCTCTTGGTTGAGTTCAAGCTACATATGGCGTCTCGATAAAAATACTTTTCTCGCGTAGATCTTAACTGTATACAACTAATGTCATACGAAAGGCATCCTAGACAAAGACTTTAGGAGTAAGCAGAAGTTGGAGAAAGTGTTCAAAGCTGTTGATCAGCCTTGAATACTTTCTTCAGATATTAGTCTGGTCTATATATAAACCTGTATTACGTTCTTACTTGCATAGGGTGATAAACGCTACATCTTTGTCTCATTAATTGTGGCTAAGTAACTCTTTCCGTTATCTCCTAATGAGGATTAGCTCAAAAAAATGGTTTAATTGCAGTAAGGTTTCTCACACTCTATAACACCTCTAAGAGTCCATGATTACATCAACAGCAGTAAAATATTAGAATACTAAATATGCTATGTTGCGTATGGATGGTGTCACTGTTTATGCTTTTAGTATGCATTTTGGAGACTTCAAAGGAGCCCAAAGTTATAACCTTGAGTTAAATACCTGGACTGATACAACTACATAGCTCCTTGTTTAATAATAATTCTATAAAAGAGTCAAGTTCTCTATAAATTTCTATAAATCTATAAATCAGATCTAGAACTCAATTAGTTGAACTCTAAGGGCTCAATTAGTTGATGACTTTATATTCAATTGTTGAAAAAAGTTTGGTTTTTGATTTTGCATCTGATATTGCATGGTTCTGACTTTGCATCTATTATTTTGAAAAATACTTAACAATCACTGCTTCTTAAATTTCAAAGATTAAAACATGACTAACTTACAAAAGCATCAAATATCTCAAAAAACTCTAATTCCCAGGTAAAAGTATTGTAAAAGTATAGTAAAAGTAATACTAGATATTTTTAGGAAAATATCTAATAAATATATATACATACAATTACCCCTTCAAATAACCTAAAAAGCTTCAATAAAGTCTACAAACAAATAATATGGAAAACATAACAGTTCAAAGAACTTAACGTAAAAAAATTGTAGATGTTTTGATTTATGAGATCTCTTCGAAAATCCAAATTATATCAACACAAATATCAAAGATCTACTCAACAAAATAAGATTATTGTTGTGACAAAACAATCAAAACTTATTCACTTTACCTTTAAAACTAATACTTTATGTATACCAATATTGTATAAAGCAGTACTTATAAATCCAAGCTAGAGCTGTTATATTCAAGTCAAAAACATTCCTCAAGACTAATGTAAAACAATGACAAAGACACTCATGCACTCATAAACCCAAGCTTCATTGGAACAAATGAAAATACTAAAAATCTTTCAAATAAATAATCAGCAAAACATACTCTTTATTTCAATATACAAACTAGATCTTCCTTAAGATGTAGTTCGTAATTAGACATGAAGATGCATTTTACGACAAACTTTTTAAAAAAAGGCTATTTTGAAACACAAAATGGTAAAATTACATGATAAAGTAAAATATTTTTATTGTAATAATACACAAATATACTTATCTTAGCTTTATATGATTATACTATTTTATTAACGTAAAATCTTATTTTATTTGTAATATTTTATATCGAAGTTTTATGTTCGAATGTTTTCCTGGATGTTAAATCCTAGAAACTTTAATAATAATGTTTGATATATTCAAAAAACAAAAAAAGATGTAGACGTGCCGCAATTCACAATTCAACGAGCAATTTGCAATTCAACAAGCAGTGTTGCATTAATCTTAAATCACTTAAACATTAAATAATAGACACAGCAAATTAAAAAAAAAAAAACAACTAGGAAACAACTTATGTTTAACTTTAATGAATAGCACCATACAAATCAAGGAAAAATAACAACAACAACTACAACAACAACAGCTAATCAAGTTAAGTGTAAAGATTAAGACTCCATAAATTAGTATTCCATACTAATGTTTGTAAAATATTTTGATGTAACGGTAATCCAAAACACATATGGTTTCTTGATTCCGTTCATAAAATAAATTTTTTTTTATTGGATTTGTGATAAAATATTTTTTTAAAAATTGAATACTGTTTTAAAAAATTTTAAGAAAAGTGTTGCTTACCCTGCTAACTATTATAAACTGTACAACCAACGTTCCAATTGAAATGATTAAATACAATATGCCAATTTCAGATGTTGACATTCCTAGACCACCTGCAATGCAAAAAATGTAAAAAATTATCCCAATGGTTTGAGCAATAATGTCTGAAAATATCAAAAAGTAAATATTTAAAGTAAAAAAAAAAAAAGAAAAATACCATATTCAATGGAAGTGGATGCAAATAGTGAAAATAGTTCATCAAAACCGGAAAGACAGAAAGTGTACATTCCGTAGAGTGTTGCAGAAAGTAAAAAGTATTTGTTTCTGAATAATAATAAAAAAACAATTTAAAGTTATGTTGCGAGACTAGTTAAAAAATTAAATTAATACCGATTACCTTAAAAGTGTTACAAAGCTACTTGTTCGTAAAAGCATCCAATGTTTTTTAAACATAGACGGTTTAGATATTATTAATCTTGATGTTTCAGTTTGGAATTTAGAAAATGGTTCAGACTTTTCATGATTAAGTAAATCTTTATTAATTGTATTGTTTTTATCTTCAACTGATAGCGGTACTTTATCACTAGAAGTTCTGAAAAAAAGCAAAATAACTATTGAGCCATTTCATATTTAAAAACAGATTTTAACTCACTATACCATTAATAAAAGTACACCAAGACACCATTGAGGTTTGACAAAACGCAAAAAAGTGAGCAAAATTTTTTTTTTTCTTAAACTCTTACAAAAAGTTAAATAGTCACATACGATTGAAAAAATGGTTTTTGTAACCGTGTTTAGGGCTTCTAGTTCAACAATATAGTAACAATAATATAGAGTGTTTCAAAGGCCATATAAAATATATACATTTGTTTATTGTTTTTCTAATATAAAATAAAATACTATTTTAATCACCCTAAAACAATAAGGCTGTTGTTTTATATTTTATGTTTTGCTAATTGTTACATTAACTGAATTCGCTGAACTTAAGGTAAAAACTTAAGATAAAAGTCGCCAATATAATTAAGACTTAATGGAAAGTTACTTACAGTCTGGCGAGAAACTGAAAGTAAAATAAAAGAATTTTTAAAATCTAAATTAGGAGTAACTGGTAATTGATATTTAGAGAGCTCAATATCAATTGCCAGTTACTCCTAATTTAGAGATGGGAAAAAAAAGTTAGATGAAAAAAAAAAAGAATAATTAGGGTTTATAAAGGCAAGACTCTGCAACGAAAAGGCCAGGGTCAGGGTTAGGGTTAGAGTGTACATTAACAAAAATTTTAGCGAACGCATATTGAAAACACTTATAAAGTTTTTTAGGAATAGAGTTTCAAACTAAATCAATGTATGCGAAAGTTGCTTATATTAAATAAATCAGGTATGGTTTTAAGAAGATTTCCAATTCATATATTTGATATAAATTAAATTTTAAAACAAATTTAAACCAATAATAAATAAATCACTGATGGTTTAAAGTAGAATTTCAAATCATAGATGTAATATAATTTAATTTATTAAATGAATTCAAACCAACTAACTAAATATTTTTAAGAAACTAATTTAATTTTTTTCAAACGAATAATTTTTTACTTGATAATTGACATTACTGATTCTAGCAAAATAGGATTAGGGTTAGGGTTATGTTAAGGTTATATTAGGTGCTCTGCAAAATTACTTTTACGTTTCAAAATATTTTTCTCGGGTGAATTTTCTTAATATCATTAATTTCAATATAAAAAGCATAATAAAATATTTTATAGATTTTGAGAAAATTTTAAAATTTTCAGCATATGCGTTGCAGAGATTTGGTGCAACTCATTTTTTATGATTTATGATATTATTATTTCTAAATATAAAATCTCTAAAAGAAATTAAGATTTAAATTCACCATCGATTATAGAAAGATTTAAATTTACTGCAAAACTGTATATAAATTATTAAAAAGTTCTAAAGTTAATGTAAAACTGTATATAAAGTATTTTAAAAGATCTAAATTTTATGTAAAACTGTATATAAAGTATATTAAAAGATCGAAAGTTAATGTAAATCTGTAAAAAAGTATTTAACAAGATTTAAAGTTAATGTAAAACTGTATTTAAAATATTTAAAAATGAAAACTTTAAAAAGAAAGACAATTTATTAAAATCCAAAGAAAAAACTTCAAAAAAAGTATAAATTTATTAAAATTTAAAGGAAGTCTAATAAAAACATTGCAAACTTTACAAGAAAATACAGTAAGAAATCGGAAACTAGTTCTTTAACTAAAACTTTTAATATTGATAATAAAAAATTTTATGATACAGGAATTGAACTTTATCCAGACCAAAAAAAAATTCAATCATATCCAAGAAAAATAAACAGATGTAAACATTTTTAGTATCTATTCTAGATTCTTTTGAATTTAATGTTTTTTAAAGGCAATAAAAAAATTATTAAAGAAACGTTATTAATTCATATGATAATGTAATTAGCATTCTTTTTGAAGTATTTAGTTGTTTAATTCATTAAGTAACTTTTTCTAAATATCTAAAAAAGTGTACTTACTTATTGTTAGTAAATACCGTCCGATGTCTGTTCTCTGCGTTTTTTCAAAAATTATAAAACTTCATTAGCATAAGACCTCAATTAGCATAATTATTTTTTCTTATAAATTTTTAATACCCTTTCTCAAAATATTATAAAACATATGAACAATAAGAAAAAACACGTCTTCTTTACACGCTATATTTCAAATAACATATTATGTTGTTAGTATACAGAATTGTAATATATAAAGAGCCAATTAAGAAATCTAAACTTACTTTATTTGATTTATTTTAGGCTTTTGATACGAGTGACAACTTTTTATGTGAAAAAAATAAAATATTAGAGAACATCTGGCAATGCTCTAATCTATTAAAACGTTACTTAAAGTTATTTAATACAAATTCTCTGTTTTGATATATATATCAATTTTTTTAAAATTATTTATTCTTCAAAAGTTGAAAATAAGTATAATTTATCTAATGAAATCTAGATGAAGCTTTATTTATCAATTAGATTTTAAAATACTTCTTCTTATATACAAATAGCAAGTTAAAAAATTGCATTTTAACGCATGCCTTCCAATCTTACAACAGTGAATTAAAAAACAGTAAAAAAGACATCAAAAATCAATTTAAATGCGTCTTCATTAAACAAATTACGCACAAACAGCACTCTCTGCCAAAGAATAAATAAGATGTTTGACACCATAAACACCACAAGCGGCAAAATAGCAAGCTTACTTACTCAAATTGATGAATAAAATCGCTAGAAGCAGATGTCGTTTACCAAACCATGCTAAAAGTCTTGGCTTCCAAACTAGCCTTTATTGATCATATTCAACTTCTTGTTGCATTCAAGAGTATTACCAACAGTATAGCTATTTAAAAGCTAAATAGATCCAGGAATTTATTAACCAATCAGCTTGACATCGCTGCCATGCAAAATTATAGAAAAATTAGTGATGAATAAACTTGTCAGCTACCTTAAAATAAAACAGCCTTTGTAGTTGCATACATTATGATTTTGTTTCGAATAAATTATGTCTTCAAACCTTCTGGAAACTATGAACTTAACTAAAACATTGGCAAAGAAAATGCCGCCAGGTATTGTATTTCTCAACTTTTTAAGTAAACTTGATTTAGTACAGCATTTGAGTCTAATTTAAAAACGGAGCAAACATTATATAACAGATTATCTACATCGGTGGATTTACTCATTATTAACAAATTTTTAATAATGAGTAAATCCAAAAATTAAAAATGAAATCGTGTTTTTCAAGGTAAAACATCATTAGGATATTCTGTTTTTATCGTCATACGTAGCAGGACAACGGTAGTTATGTGCAGATATGGATAATCAAATAATCTAAAACAAGATTACGTTTTAGATGCGCTTGATGTAGATTATTTGCTGTTTTAGATAGTTTAGATGTGGATAGTTTAAGAGTTTAAAACATTCAATTTATTGTTGTATTCTATACTTCATTATACTCTGTGTCATTATAATGTTATGTTTCAATCTGATCCTAATCGCAGCTTAAACAATCATGTCCCGTTATGGGAAAGGGGTCAGCAATGTGGCTTTGTTGCTATCGGGTCTACATTGAATGTAGTAGTAAATCTTAATGATATACTAGTTTATATAATAGCATTGACTGATGTTGGACAATGGACTCTAGGGGGCGGTTTAGGGATGACAGAATGATCTAACATTTGATAAATTGTTACCTCCGCTGTTTAAATCAAGTTTTGCAACTTAAATATTAAACCCCATGTTATTGTGGTAGTTTGTTTCAATCTAGTTTTTGTCACATTTTTGTATGCGTACCTATCAGTTTTTTTTTAATTTCAATCCACAAATAAAATATTTCTGCAGTTTATGTTTTACTAAATATTTAAATATATTTTAATTATTATCTTTATTGAGTTAACATAGCTAAAGGTAAAAATAATTCAATGAAAATTAAAGAAAGAATTATAAGTGCATCTAAAAATTAAAATAAAATATAGAAAAACCGTGAAAAAATCTTTTAAAATCTATTATTTTGAATACAATGACAAAACTAACAGTTAAGCATATAAGCCGAAGTATAATGGTTTGTAAAATGAGTTATTTTTCCAATCATGGTCAGGACCCAATTCATAGAATTGAAGGCATTATGGATAAGTAGAAGTATGTTACTATACTGATAGACATAATGTTACCATATGCGTAATGGAACACGCGGTTGAAATATTTTTCAACAAGATAATGGTCACAAACACACCTCAAAGCTTGCAAAAGACTGGTATGCAACTCAAAAAAGAAATGTATTAATATGACCTGCCCAATCCCAAAACAACATAGAGAATTTGTGGGAAATAGTTGATAAGAAAATAAGGTCCAAAAAATTTCCAAATACGGCAGAATTGTATGAAGAAGTTCAGAACATGTGCAAATCAATAGACGTCACTGCAATTGACAATCTCATATCATCTATGCTGAAAAGAAGCAAGACATTTTTAGTGTTTAAAAATGTAATCATTATTTAAAAACCAATTGAAAATGATATTTTTTTTATTGATATTTAATTCTGATTTAACAATTTTTTTTAAGAGTTGATTTGAAAAATACAATTTACTTTTGTCGCTTCCTTTTTGTTCGATACTGTATATCCTTATTAGAATATGGTATGATACTTTATAATTTACGAATTTGTTCAAACCTGATAAATTTTTTTATAAGCTCTATTCTTTGAGAGATTTTGCATCCAGTTGTCCTCATTATAATATTATTTGAGCCTGTTTCCGCTACCGACTTATACACTTTCATTTTTTTGTTTGTGTATAGTTGTTGGCTAGCTGTTATAATTATGAAATATTGTTATTAAATTGATTGGTTCATTACAGCACCTTCTTTTTTCATTTTTTCATAATATTTTTATTATTTCCGTTTAACTTAAAATAGTAAAGTTTTCAAATTGCTGCCCTGACCCAAACCTTCTATTCACTAAATAAGTTGATGGATAGATTAAAGTCCACACAACTCTTTAAGTCAGTATGACGTCATCGGTAACTATGATGTAAGTACTAATCCATATAAATTTAATTTCTGAATAGATTATATATGTAACAAAAATGCACTAAATCATATAAAACAGATCAAATATAAGTTATATATAAAATAAATAAAAACTCAATTGTATATAAACTTAGTATAAAACGGTATAAACTTAGTTTAAAACGGTATAAATTTAGTATAAAACGGTATTAATTATAATTAAATATAAATTAAGTATAAACATTCTTTTTTTCTAGTTGAAAAGTTTAAAATATGGTTTATTAAAAACTAAATATAAAACTTACCAGATGAGCAAGGTACGTTTTTAAAACGTTTACTGGACGTTATTATTAGGTCTGAAACTATTCAAAACGTCCAAAGAACTTATAGAAAACGTACTGTGCCCACTGGGTTACAAATTTATTTTACTAAAACCGCGTAAACTATAATTTGCAAAATTGTATACAAAACTGTTATGTGGTATAAATAACACACAATAAATATCTTTGTTTTCTTAAAACTAACCTTTTTTTTCTAAATTAATATAAACTAAGTTTAAAACGATAGTTTTGATCGAAAAGAAAGTATTCATTTTGGTTAAGTATAATTAAGTGTAAAATGAATACTTTCCCAAAAATGGTGTAGATTTTTATATTACCAATAACTCTATTAAAAAGCTATATTTTAAAACTAAATATGAATCTAATAAAACACAAATAGTTTCACTAAAACGACATAATTCAATATAAACTAAGTATAAAAGGAATATTTCTAGTTAAAGGATATTAATTATATCAGGAGTTTCCAGTTAAAGGATATTAATTATATCATCCCTAAGCCCATTGCAAAACGCGCTAAATTCGAGTAAACTGGTTTTGATAAAACAACGGAAGAATTGCTCCTCTTAGTTGCACATCAACAGAAATTGATACTTTCTATTCTCACTTTTAGAACATTTAATGATTTATTCTACGTTTAATATTTAAATATATGATAGATTTCAATATATAAAATATGGAAATAGAATTAACTTAAACATTATAGTGTGTGTGACATGGCTTGTTTTGCAGGTTGGATCCTCATATTTAAAATAAACTGTGTATAAAACGAATAACTCCACTAAAATTTATACATTTTTTAAATGCATGTCTCCAATAAGTTGACATAAATATATAATTTTAATCTAAACTAACTATTTTACGAATAACTCCACAAAAACGGATAACATTATTTATTAACTTAAATAGGTTCTTTTGAACATAAACTGAGTTTATAATAAATTTTTTCCAAATTGCGATTCAAATTCAATAAATTTTGCTGGTGTCTGAATTTTTGTTAAGAACATAACATACTGCAAAATGAATTCCGTGGGCTTAACACAGCTGATGTTTGATACCTCTTAGCCGCCTATCATCACGGATGCTCCGTCAGTTAAACTAACTATGATGTGCTTTTAAATTCATAAACTGAAATGTGACAGTTTATTTTTGACTAGATTAACATTTTTTCCTGCAGGAAGTAATTCAGCTATCGGAGTCATTCCTAGGTTACAAATTTTTCTTGTCAAGTGTATTTTTTGTTGATACATTTATTCCACCGTTGCTAGGTTTGACACAACTTTCTCGATAGCCTGCTGTTTAACAAACAATGTGATTTTCTTTTGCACAATTTCAATTTCCGAACCAGTCTCTTCATGTAGACCTTTCATATTTAAATCCAAATCTTTATGTGCGTTTTTTAAATGACTTTGGAGCCCACTTGTCGAAAATCCTTTGCACATATTCTTTACATTGCACTTTTTGCAAATTGCAGATTCGCCAGATCTTTTTTGAAAAAAGTACTGCCATGTTTTTCTTTATTTACAATTGACATGGTAAAAGTAAATTGAATCGTAAATGTCTTTGTTTGCTGTATTTTAAATACACAATATTTTGCACATTTCAATAATTCAATACAGAAAAAGTTTAACTTTTCAATAATTTAGAAGTGTTAAAAATCAAATTTAGTGTTTTTGCTGAACTAAGATTTTTTTTATTTTTTAGTTATATTTTATAATAACGAAAACATCGCATTGCAATGCATTCCTCAAGTTAGATAATTTATAATAGTTTCAATACATTTCTTGTTGTGCTAGATTTTAATGTGAATTATACAACTAAATGCAATAATATTTTTCTTATTTTTGGTCGAATTAGTTCAAACAGCTATTGTATGTAAAATTAAAAAAAAATTATATTCCAGGATTCCAGGATGATCCCGCTGCCACTTTTATCCCCAGATAAAAGTTTCAATGAAAGCAATATAAAAATTTTAAAATTAATAAATAAGAGATTTTAAAGATAATCATTCAGTGTTGCAATGTTTAAAAAAATAATAATTCTTTTGTTTAAAATGACTTAATCATAATATGTAAAGTTAATAAGTAAATTTACTAAATATTTTGCAGCCTTGAAATCTGTTTTCTCAGGCATTCCCGATGTCAAAAGTACCCGCACATCCTCGTTTTTGTTTTGATTACAGATGTATATATCTATGTGTAATTGTACTCAGTTGTGAAGATTGTATGTTTATTTAAATTGAACTTAGTTTACATCTAGGTGTTGACTGTCTACGATAGAATGTACATTTAACAAGAAATGCACAATCCTAAAAACTACGCGCCTCTGGCACGTTTACTAGATTAATTTCATTTAGAACCAGAAATATCTTTTTTCCTTTTAGCCTGCCTGTTACTATTTCAGCAAAATATAAATAAAGTTGAAGCATGATTAAATATGACAATGGTAAAAAAAATGAATAAAGTTGAAATATGATTAAATATGAATTAAAAATAAAATTATATAGTCTCTAATAAAATAAAAATCTATCATTAAAAATCACTGTACCTTTTTGGAAGATAAAAAATAGAAGCCAATAACGCTAAGGTCAAGCCAAATGCAATAATAAAATTTGGAATGAAGATTTTAAAACGATCAAAAAAAGAATCTAAAAATAATTTAACAATGTTTTAAAATGCGTTTAATTAAATCACTAAGTTTATGTTTCATCCATTAATAAAACTACGCGCTCGAGATTGATTTTTACGCGTCCGAAATTGATTTCTACGGGAAATTTTTTATATAAAATGATCAATTTTTTTTACAGGTAGCATAAAATGATAATAAAGAATGAGTTAAATAAAAAATAAAAAGTAAATAAAAAATTAATAAAAAAGGGCTGGATTAAAACTAAATTTTAACTAGCTTGATTATAATTTTGAAACAACATTATTCAAATACTAGTTATTTTATTGCTGTGGTGAGAGAGGGTTATTATATAAAGATATTGCCTAGATAAAGAATTTTAATATTATCTTATGTATTAAAAGTCATTATTATATCGGGCTGAAAATTTACAAAAATTATCAAGTGAAAGGAGATCATCAATTTTAGTCTAAGTTAAGGTTGGAATTGAATACGATTAGTTCAGAGACGATAACTATGATGGCCTACTAGCTATATAAAATTCTATTGGTCAAAGAGGATTGCACTAACTAAAAAACTAAAATAAACAACAAAACTAAAATAATTTTTATAGGCGCAAATTTAAAAAAGTATTTACAACTATTTGTAAATATTTTTTTAAATTTAAATTTTTTATTAAACAAATATTTTAAATTTTGCATTTAGGACTTAAACAAAAATATTTTAACATAATTTATTCTTTAGTTTAATAATAAAAAAAAAAAAACATTTATAAACCCTAAAAAATAGTAACTGATTTGTTTGACGTCTTAAACTAGTTGATGACTTTCTTAGCCCTTTACTTAAGTCATTAGTAGTATATTTCTTAGCATATTTAAACAGAATCAAAATACATTCATTTATTGGCAGTTAAATTCGATGTTTCTTAAAAATTGATTTTAATAATTGAATTTTAAAAATTTTATCTTATAAAAATAAAAAATATAAAAGTCGCCGTTAGATAAAATTATCTGTTTAAGTTTTGTTTTAAATGTGTTACTTTTACATTTATACATAAAGCAAAAAATATTATAGACAATAAGTTGATGTATACTAAGAATATTCATTATAAGTAAAAGAGGCCTGTCTTGAGTAAAATGTCTTTGAAGTTTATAAGACGTGCAGTATGCTTCTGTTGACGATAAAGAAGTTCTAGTATAGTTTTATTTACACTACCCCACGCAGAAAAAGCATAATTAATATTGCAATGAATAAATTAGTAATATAATTAAACTAAAGTATAATTACTTAAAAAAGTTCTTGATTTGTATAGTATTCCTATACTTCTAGTAATTTTGTTGTTTAGATTGTTAACATGATTTTTTTCCTGTAAGGTTTTAATTAATGTAAACACCCAAGATGTTAGTTACTTAAGCTCTCTTTATTTTAGTATTATCAATAGAAGAGAAAATTTTACGAAAGAAGATTTATTTTTTTAAGCTGGGTAAAAAAGGATCTATTTAGTTTTTTCCTTAATTATTGAAAGTTTGTTTGGCTTAAACCAAATAAGAAACTTAAAAGAGTTCACTACTCATTTAGTTCAATAATTTAGTTCAATAATTTAGTTCAATAATTTAGTTCAATAATTTAGTTCAATAATTTAGTTCAATAATTTAGTTCAATAATTTAGTTAAATAATTTAGTTGAATAATTTAGTTAAATAATTTATTTAAATAATTTGGTTAAACAATTTCGTAAAATAATTTAGTTAAATAATTTAGTTAAGTAATTTAGTTCAATAACTTAGTTAAATAATTTAGTTGAATAATTTAGTTAAATAATTTATTTAAATAATTTGGTTAAACAATTTAGTTAAATAATTTAGTTAAACAATTTAGTAAAATAATTAAGTTAAATAATTTAGTTAAATAATTTAGCTATATAATATAGTCAAATAATTAATATTTAATTTTATAATATAATAATTTATATTTTTTAAATAGTTTTTAACAACAATAATAATACGTTCCTAATGATTTCATAGAGAGTTTTTTAAAAAAAATTTCGTAATCAAAATCATATAAAGAATTTCTATCTAATTTAAGCATAGATCTGGAAAAATATCTAGCAGTTAATTTTCAAAGAGGTATTACTCATATATTTAACATCTTTGCCAAATGACATCAAAAGGAAACAACAGAATTTCAATTGGTACTTATACCATCGAACGTAAGACTTTTAATACAAAGTTATTTTAAAGCAAAAGTCAAAAGGTTTTCAATAAAGAATGTTTTATCACCTGCTTTAATTTATTTAATAAAAAATAGGCAATAAGATCTTTCAAATGAGCTTTCAAAACAACTAATATAAAAATTAAAGCCTATATAATAACAAAACATATTCAAAAGATATTCAAAAGTCCTCGCGAGCCAACTAACATGAAAATTATGGCGTCGGTAGCTAAAGCATTAGGTTCACATACAGTAATATCTATACCAAAATCATTAAAATTAATGCAGTTGTTTTTTAAGTTATACTGCTTTTGATTACCGTAATATTAATACAATGGCTACAATGTTTAAAATTGACATCAGATTTCTTTTTATCACCATAAAATAAAATAAAAACCTGAACTAAACTAGGATCGCCATTTACAAATATTGCCTTTTGCTACAATAAACGTATATCATGAAAATAAAATATTAGTTTAAGCTATATGCATATTTTAAATAAAAATAAAGAGTTTGTAAAACAGTTTTTTTTTATTTAATCATTGGGTATGCGATCTTTTGGTTTAAAATTTTGATAAGAAATATATATATATATATATATATATATATATATATATATATATATATATATATATATATATATATATATATATATATGTATATATATATATATATATATATATATATATATATATATACATATATATATATATATATATATATATATATATATATATATATATATATATATATATATATATATATATATATATATATATATAATATGATTTTATAAAAAAATTAATAAAATATTTTTGCGCAAAATAGTTGCAGATCAATAGCCGAATAACTTGTTTTTTAAATGAAAAAACATGCCTTGTAAATTTTTTTTTTCTTTTTAAATTTAAGATATAATGTTTTAAATTTCATTAAATTTTTTGTTTTCTGGTGCAACAAATCTTAAAGATAATGTTGAGGATTGATTGATTTGGTCATTATTACTTAAATTTTTTTTTCAATAATTTACCGTTAAAAAGAATTACATTATTCGTAACTGTAAAATATGCAAATGGCGTATTATAGTAGAAGACAAATTAGTCTTGATACCAAGTCCCTAAAATCAGTTAATATAAAGCCATTAAAAACTTTTAATTAAAAATGTTGTCAAGTAAAATAACAAAAAAAAAAAAAAAATTCTAAAAATTTTTTATCTATTATAATTAAATACGCAGCTAAAACAAAAAAAAAAGGAAAAAATAATCAAATTTATATATAATACTTTTCAATTATAATAATAGTTGTATTTATTAAATTATTAATCATTAAGAGTTCAGAAAAATAATGCGAAGAATTAAAAGCGTTAAGAAAAATTTATATTTGTATAAAGAGAAAATAAAGAATAAAATAATAAGAAATAATAACAAAAAATGAACCGAATTTTTTAAATCCATGCAAATAATATGAAGACAAACTATACAATATTTTAAAGAATAGTTTATAAATATAGCTCTAGAAGAAGTCTTCAATACTTTGATGAATTAAAATTCTTTATTTCAATTTTGATTTAAAACAATTTATATTTGCAAGCGTTTTAATGTCGTTTTTACATACTATACTCCATATTTGGGGGCCTCCAGGTGTGATAATAAACTTAGTGGCTTCAAAGTGAATTATTTCTTGAATAAAATAATTGTTTGCATGTTTAAAAAGATATTTTTGCGGTAATTTTTTATTTAGCGTTGTAAAAATTATTGGCATTTTATTGTTAATAATTTTGTGCATAAATATTAAATATTAATATACATATTTATTTGATAAACATTCAAAACTTTTATATTAATACAAATATTAATATACATATTTATTTGATAAACATTCAAAACTTTTAGATTAATACAAACATTAATATACATATTCATTTGATAAACATTCAAAACTTTTAGATTATTAAATTGTAATTGGGATTGAGAGACTTTCAGCGTTGGATATTATTCTTTTAGCATGTTTTTGTTTAATGAATAGTTTTTTAATCATTTTTTTTTATAGGTGCTGCACCAAGCAATATAAGCATGATTAAAATAACAATGAATAAAATAGAAGTAGATATATTTTAAGCAAATTTAATTTAGCTAAATTTTTTAGTATTTTTAGAAATTTTATTTTCCAATAATTTAATGTGATTTATTCATGTGATATTTTCGTCAGGAAAAACATCTAGATACTTACTTTATATATTTAGTGTTCTTTTTATTTATGGAAAGATAAACATCAAATTTTTTTGTATTGACAAAGAATCAAATCTTGGTAATAGAGTCACTGGTGTTCTTATTGTCAAAAGTTTCTTTTTAGTTTGAAGCAGATTTATATAAAAAGCAAACATTTAAGGCAAAGAATTTTATTTAAATATGGTTACGTTGATGATCAACAATTGCGATATTTTTTTATTCAAAACACAGGAACTGTAATCTAATTCTAAAAATTTAAACTCGGTTTTTAAAATGGTCACTTCATGTAGAAGTATGTTTGGATGAAAGAAAGTTCTCACATTTTAAAGCAATAAAAGCGTTCATTACAAACGCAATAACTGCATTATTCATGATTCGAATCCGAAAAAAAACGTAAGTACTCAAACTTTTGTCAATACTTATTGCATAAACCAGTCATTATTAATTACTGTGCGGCGGCACTTTTTTGTGCCCCAAAATTCTAAATGTGTGTTACTAAATTTTAGATACTTGGATAATATTTTATATAACATTATATATAATAGAAAAATACTTTTAACAAGAATAGATACTTAAATGCATAAAAAAATCTTTTTCTTTGTGTGCTAAATTTTATAACAATTAAAAAGATGCCACGAAATAGTTAACGAATTCGGCGAGGTTATTAAAAAAATGCCATAAAAAAATAAAAAATTAAAATAAAAATAATGAAGTTAAAAAAAATAAAAAATGACGAGAATCATTGGCATAGCCAATGTAGTTATTTGAAAATTTTGAGTTTGAGTTTGATTCTAACCAATTAAAAATATATTTTCTTTGAAAGTTTTTTTCAGGTAAATTATAATTAAATACTTTTTAGTGTAATAAAACATTTTATTGTAACAAATGACAACTGAAGAAAACCTAAATATAACACAAGAAACCCTAATATCACACAAGAAGTGCAACATTAAAAGTCTTTTAACTAAAAAAAAATGTTATGATGCAATTAAAATAAGCATCTTAAAAATAGATAAAGAACAAATAGTCTTTGAGGGTTACTGGAAAAAAATAGCAAGTTAATGCAAAACTAAACAAAAAGCATTAAAACGTTTTTAAAAATAAACTTAAGTTCAAAAAAATTTTAATTGAATGGGGACACAGGTCAAAAATAATTAAAACTTTTTGATCAAGAACAATTGTAATAAAACTAGTAAATTACAATAGTTTTGAGAAGTTCAAATAAACTAGAATGATTAGAAACATATATAAATGAGGATTACTTGTTGTAAATAGCAAATTACAGGAAAAAACTATTTGAACAAATGACATAGGAAATATGAAATTTTTAGTAAAAATTTAGGGAAAAATATTGGTCAAAGAATTTAGCATCAACAAAAAAATTGGTGAACTTATTTTAACAATTTGGTTCTGTTAATCTCGATAACATCAAGTTCAATACTAAAAATAAAAACCTTTTAAAAGTACCTAACAAACATAATTTAAAACAGTCGCTTAAAACCTTTTTCAGCAATATAATATTTAAGCATTGCAATGACAGCATCAAATTAGCATAAAATGAATATATTAGTCTATTTTTGTTTATCAACAACTCAATTTTAACACATAAAATATTACTAACATTAGGTTTAGTCTCAACATAAACAGATCAAATGAATATATTGATTTTTATATAAGCAAAACAATTAGAAAAAAGATAGAGTAAACATAAGTTAAATTTTTTAAGCATCTTATTTATTTTATTTTAAAAAAAGTTTAGCATACATATTAAAATATATCAAAAATAGTTCTTTTTACCTGCAATAGTAAAAAATATAAAGTCTATAGAGTTAAAGTAAAGAAAAAAAGCAAAAAAAGTGATTAATTATTTTTTGAATTTTTAATATTCTCTTTTAATTATTTCAATACTCTTAATATAGTTAAAATTATTGAAATTTTAAGCGAAAAAATCATTTTGTTGCTGGATTATAAGTTAGAGGGATAGCACTTTGTAATTTATATGAAAATTTTAATTTATGTAGGCGTGTGCCCAGTAAACTGTACATATAATATATAATATAATAGTGATGTACAATTAAAGAATGATGAGTCCAAACTACGAAGAGTTTGTAACTGTAACAGCTGTAACACACTAAAATACAAACATAATAAAGTTAGTATTTAGTATTGCCATTACAAATTATCTGAAATGCACACTCCTGAATCCTTTTCCATGCTTGTGTAGGCTAAAGCTGTTTTATTCATTAAAACTTTGTGCTGGATATCCTATTATCATAACCTTTTTTTGCTGGTTGAATTTCATTTCATTTTTGCTGGTTGAATTTCATCAACCACTTATTCGACTATTCCAAATCTATATCTTTTTAAAGTTCAATAATATCATAATCGTTTTTTATTTCTTTAAGGATTTTCATGTCGCAAATAGTTTACAGCTTGATTTTATTTTGTTGGAGATATCATTAATATACGCTACAAATAATAGTGGTCCTAGCGTTAAACCTTATGGTACTCCACTCACGACCTCTTCCCCTTCTGATTTATTATTTACTCTTTGAAGTTTATTATTAAAAAATCCCTGCCACCAGTTGAATAGTTTTGATTTAAAATCAAGAGCATTCAATTTTAACAATAATCTTTTGTGATCAACTAAATCAATTGTTTTGGTTCCAGAAATAAAACTATTATAACACTAAGCAAAAATTGAATTATTTTTTTTGTTGTTATAATTTTTGAAGCATCTTACTATTTTTATCCAGATGCCTGTATGCTAAAATTTATGATAAAGTATTACTACGACCGTAAGGGATACAGATGTAAAAATTTATGATAAAGTATTACTACGACCGTAAGGGATGCAGATGTAAAAACTTAAATGCCCGGGTCTACTCATTTTATTTATTTCAGACTGAGTGTATTTCGAATAAAAACCAAATTTATATAAAGAATAGGTTGGGCCAATGTTGTATAAAACGTTGGACCAATTTGCCTAATTAATAAAATGATTAAACATGCATTGGATCAACATAGAATTTCAACGTTGGGCTAATGCGCCACCATGTAATGGCCCAACGTGGGGTCAATTTAAACTTGTTATTTGGATATAGAATGGCAAAACTATTAAACTCGTAAAAGTTTTAAGCAAAATAAAATTATTTATAAGTCTGAGGAATAATAACATCACTCATGAGTTCTTTCTATATAGTTTTACTTTTTATTCTTTAAAGGAAGTAATTCTACACTTATTCTTTTAGGTATTTATGTTTTGTTTGTATATTTTAAATATATCAGTATTTAAATTGAAAGTTTTAAAACTTACTGTTATCAGTAGTTTATTTAGAATGTTTTGACGATAGTTTTATTTTAATGGTGCCCTATGAAATGATGGTAGGTAGTATTGCATCACCCAATTTTTCACAAAAAGACTCACGGTTATTTTATAAGTTGTCATTTATTTTTAGTTTAGCTCGAATGTAATTTATTTTATTAATCAATAAAATATAAAAAAAAATTATAAAAATATGTAATTTTAAAATATAAAATGTTAGCGATTAAGTTATTAAAAGTATTTTCAGTTGATGATGCAATTAGTTTAATTAGGTAAGTAGGGCCGCCCCGAAGTGATTTTAAGAAAACAGGTGATCTTAATGGAAAGGGCAAAGTGATCTTATAAGAAATGGGGAAAGATATACGTTTTTATTGCCAACTAAGGTCTAGAAACTTTTTCTCGGAAAAAAAGGCCCTTGTTGACCAATTTTCGCTAACTGCAAACTTCTACTCCAATTTTGTTGACTAAAGGGTCTGAACTGCCAACTGGTAAAAATTTTTATGCGGGCTATACACCCTCTTATGCTTCCCCCTCGGGACGGCCCTGGAGGTAAACTTGCCAATCCAAAGCTGGCATTTATATACAATAGTTGAATCATTAAATATATATCACATAAGCAATTAAAGAAAGTTATGTTACCTTTTTTAAAAATATTTGGATATTTTTCAACTGGAAAAACTAAAAATCCTTTAAAAAAAATATAACAAAAGCATTTTTATATTATGGTTAAAATAACAATATCATCAAAATTTACAGAATGATATTAATGATATTAACAATATTTTAGTAACAATAACAAAAATAAATTAAACAATAATAAAAATAAAATATACATGTACTTTCATTTTATTTTTTTTTTTTTTTAGTCCTTAAAACTTTAGTTTATTTAAAATAAACTAAAGTTATTTAAGTGCGCAAGATAAAAAGCATTACATCTCCTAATGATAAAAAATCAGTTTTGTTTTAAAATCGTAAAAATATTTGGATATTTTTCAACTGAAAAAACTAAAAATCCTTTAAAAAAAATATAACAAAAGCATTTTTATATTATGGTTAAAATATCAATATCATCAAAATTTACAGAATGATAATAATGATATTAATAATATATTAGTAACAATAACAAAAATAAATTAAACAATAATAAAATTAAAATAAACATGTACTTTCATTTTATTTTTTATTTTTCAGTCCGTAAAACTTTAGTTTATTTAAAATAAACTAAAGTTATTTAAGTGCGCAAGATAAAAAGCATTACAGCCCCTAATGTTAAAAAAGCAGTTTTGTTTTAAAATCGTAAGAAATAATATTCCTGTAATATTGGAAAGAAACAATTTAGGTCATTTGTACTATTACACAGATAACTGAAGTATTTTTTAATAGCGGATTTGTGAGATTTTGTAGTGCTTGCGGTACTTAAAGCAAATAAGAACCTACTAAGTTTTTGGCTAAAAGTGATAATTATATAGATGTTGGTTAAATAGTGTCAAAAAATTACGAAAACGTACCTCGCATAGTAGCAATTCAATTTTACACATATATTTAAGCTTCTTTAGTTAATATTATCAATTCCGATAAGGTATAAACAGAGGTTTTTTGTTTACCCGTAAAAAAAAGAACGCTGAGTGCAATAATATTCTTAGAGTAACCATAAAAGGAAAAAGATCTGAGAACAAGTTAGTCCTGAACCTACTATATTACACAGCCATATGTGTAACATTAGAGAGGCCGAGTCTATGAGGCCTATGTACGCAATAACAAAATATAGCAGTCCAATATTAAAAATATTTAAATACATATAA